CCCACTTCTACCTCCTCCTAAGAAGGGAATCCAGCCTGGTGATGATAAAAATAAGCATTTTTTGAACACCTACTACGGGCCAGGCACTTTGCTAACTAAGCAAATGCATATTACTATTACTATACTTAATCCTTACTGACAACATTATAAGGGAAGGTCTAATATCATACCCATTTTACAGATGAGGACACTGAGGTCGGGTAAGTAGCCCAATGTCATACAACCAGGCAGTGGGCAGCCCCAGGACCTGAACCTAGGCAGTCTGGGCTCCTCAACACAGGGCTAATAAGCTATTTGGCCTTTAGTGAGGCTAGAAAGAAGGCAAGGGAGAAATCTGGGAGACCAGCCATGGAGAAGCATGCATTTTTTGGATGGACACAATGCTTTGCTGAATCAGATTCCTCAGACCTGAGGAAATACAGCCTTTCGAAAACTCACTTCCAAGCCAAACTTCTAAGGTCCTGCTTGTCCTGAACCCTTGGCAACACCTCTTCAATCTTGCCCCTTGCAGAGTTTATTCACCTCCTGGCAACTGGTATGATCCTTTTAAAACCAAATCGTACCATGCCCACCTCTGCTCAAAATCCCCAGGGGATCCCCCTATCTCATGCAGGGTAAAGATCAAGGTCTTGAGGATAGCCTCCGAAGCTCTATCAGTCATGTCAGCCTCCTTACTGCAGCTCCAACACAATGTACACACTCCTGCTCCAGGGCCTTTGCACCTGTTGTTCCTTCTGCCTAGATGTGGTTCTCCCAAATGACTGCTTTGCTCAGTCCCTCCTTTCCTTCAGACCCATGTTCAAATGTCCCCTTCTGGTGAGGCACTAACTCCTTCTGTCTCTCCTAATCCCCCACCCCCTTCCCCTCCATTCACTTCACAGCATTCTTTATCTTATGACATACCATCCATTTTATGTATTGATTACGTCTCCTCCACTCTTGCTAGAATATGAGCCCCTCCAGATTTCTGTTTTGTTCACTGTTGTATTTCCAGCGCCCAGGTCAGATTTGTAGAATGAACCAGTGAGTTTTGGTCTTATCACTTCCCCCACCACACCACCCCCAATCTGTATACTAGATCCCGATTGCTAGTTAGGCAACTGGTCCACACAACAACCAAATGAGTCCCTTAACCTCTTCTATCCCTGGTTTCCTTATCTCCAAAATGAGACGGTTACTCCATATTATCTCCAGAGCCCTATCAATTCTGACAGCCTTCAGTGGACCCCCCTGCCAAAAAAGGCAGATTTCTTCATTACCACAAGCCTGTAGCTACATTTACTTGATTATAAAAAGACTGCACTTCCTTTAAAAAGTTCCCCAGTTAAGGCCCACAGCCCCCACGCCTCTTAGCGTAAGTGGGGCTTGGCTGCTGTTGTGCTCCGTGATTTGTAACCTGCGCACCAAGTCAGCATTAACCTCGAGTGCTGGGATCACTGGTCCTGTAAAACAGACCCAGGCTGGGTTACAGAGAAGTAAACCAAACCACATTTGGTTGTGTCCCCCTCAATTTAACATGAATTCCTTAGCAGTCCATGCTGTTGGTTTTGGGGCTCAGCCAGAGGCCCTCTGGAGAAGTACCAAAATTAGGTGTTCTGGGCCAAAAGACAGGCGCTGGGAAGAAAGCAGAGCCCGGCGCAACAGCCGAGGGGGCCGTGGCACAGCCAGGAGTGGACGCCCGTGTAAGAGGACCAGGGGTCCTTCAAGGTCATTCCCGGCTAGGGTTGGCACAGCCTCACACTGACCTCAGGGAGCCTCACCCTCGTGTTTCTCCATCTAAAACGGTGACTAAATACGCCTAAGATGCTAGAGTACCAACATGTCTAAATCCCACCTGGCCAGGCCACGATCCAATTCACAACCAGCCTCAGGTTAGGCCCGCGTTAATGTTCTCTTGACGTGTGACGGATAATTCGCTTTTCGGACTGAGTGCTGGGTCACAATACAATAACACTGTTTTGGTTTCTCAAAGACGCTCTATTAGCTCTAATTATACAATCAATACAAACTCACTCGTGGCACTCCTTCAAAGTCCCTGCCTTCTTGACAAGCCCCTGGCCCATGGCACAGCCCCAGGTCCCTAACAGAGTCTTCTAACATCTTAACTGACCACTTCATCCCAAGAAGGGGGAGGGCACGGTTGTTAAGCACACACAGCAGAGAAATCAGACCTGGGTAGGCATCCTGGCTCTATCACACACTTCCCACTGGGGAGCCTGAGGCCGGTACCTACAAGACTCTGCCTCAGCTTCCTCATCTGTAAAGTGGGACTAATAAGAGTACCTCCTTCACAGGGCTGTTAGAAAGACTGCATAAGTTAACAATGAACTAAATCACTTAGCTCTTACTTACGGACATGTAAGTGCTGACTTAACGGTAGTCATTATTATTAGAAATTTCTTCTTTAGGTCTCAAGTCACACACAACCCTAAGATTTGGGCTGGCCCTTCCTGGTACTTATTCTGGCATTGTGGCAAGAACACAAGGGCTCCATCACTGAGTGTGTGGGACAGGTGGGACAAAGAGATGGCACATGTGCCATCTTCCCCCTCCTCTGACCAGGACAGGCATCGCTAATCTATCCCCGCACTCTTCTCACTTTGACTGCAGCCTGTGCCTGGTAAGACTCAGTTCAGAACTTCAGGCAGCTACTACCGCTACGGAGGAACCTGCCTGCTGTCTTCCCACCTGCTGTGGGAGAAATTCTACAATAGAAAGTTAAGGACAAGGTGCATTTAAAGTCATGAGAAACAGATGGAGGTTTGTCTCTGTCCACTTCTCTAGACACTCAAGTACCTGCTGAATGACTGACTAATCAGCTTTAAATCCATGGCAGCAGGGGCTTAGTGAACACGGAGGGCGCAGTGGGAGAGGCTGGCCAGACCCTCACTCAAGCACAGCACTGGTGAGTAGAGAAAGTACCCTGCTCGGGCAGGTTCGAGGCCTGACATATGACCCTGAGCAGGGCCATCCCTCCCCACGTGTCCAGTGAGAGGGTGGGACTAGACAAACCCCAAGCGCCCATCCAGTCCGGACATTCCAACCCAAGAAGCACTTGCACGTGCTCCCAGTCGAGACTCCCACTGCCCCCGTAGACCACAGCCTCATGAACTGCTCTTCACAGAAAACTCCGCAACAGGGGCCCAGGAGACACAGGCACTGGGCAGCTGCTCGCCCCATGTGCCCCTGCCAGTATTCATAGGCCCCAGCCTGTCAGCCCACCCCTCCTTCCCAGACTGCACCCCAGCCCTACATCACCCCCACTTCTTCCACCTCATTCAGGGTAGCCGTCCATTAACTCTGAGCACTGCTAGAGGTTTCTGCAAAATGACATAAACATGTGGCATGAAGAAAGAGCATGAAGAACCCAGGAGGGACACAGGCCCTTCGAGGAGAGGTGCAGGGAAGGTTTCTCGGAGGCCAGGATGGAGTCAAGAAGGATGATCAGAGAAAGAACATTCCAGGCAAAGGGAAGAGCAGCTGCAAAGGCTCTCAGGAGATAGTCAGTTGAGGGCAGGGGCCAGCAAACCCCAGATTGTGTATTTATGTCTTATCTGTGTGCTTTCACACACACGGGCGGTGCAGAGGTCATCACAGACACCTATGGCCTTCAAAGTGCAAAATATTTACTATCTGGCCCTTCCCAGGTAAAGCTGCTCGACCCCTGGTTTAGAGTGTTACATACACCAAAGGTCACAGCGGCTAAGACAGACTGAACAAGGGGGAGACTGATGCATGAGGAGGTGGGGGGAGCCAGGCTGCGCTGGGTGGGGTGGGTTTCGATGACCTCCACCCGGGCATCTCTGCCTCCATGCTGTGCGCCCCCAGCCACCCTGCAAAGGGTTCCCGGGTGATCTTCCCAAAACACACAGCCAAACAGGTTACTCTTTCTCAAAGAGCAATGGCTCCCTGTGGTTTCCCAAAGCACGTTCCAAGGAATACTTGCTCTGCAGCTGAACTTCAGTAAGAGTGTTCCTTGGTTAAGAAAGTTTGAGAAACACGGCATTCTCATATCGGATGTCCTCAAGCACACACATCAGTCCACGAAATACTAAGAAGTCCCTCTGCAAAGAAATCTGTTGACTCTGTTTAACCTACTGTCCTTCAAACTTGCTTGGCCACAAACCTTTTTTCCACCATAATCTCTCAACATTCTGAAGAACTAGTGTTCATGGGCTATAGGGCAAATACCTCTGCCTGGCCTCCGTGCTCTGACCCCAACTCCAGTAGGTAATCCCAGAGCCCAGCCCGTTCCAGAGTTCCAGATCTCGTGTGCGTGGCCGGGAGCGCCCTCTCTGGTCTGTCCTTTGCCTTCCTATTGCCTCTGATGCCCCCAATAAAGGTCGTCTTGCTGCTCCTGCTCTGCTCTCGCTGAGCGAACAGTGGCGGGATCAGTGCTCACAATTACCGAGTACCTGCCTGTGCCACCTACCAGGGGCGGACAGCCACCGTGCAGCCCTATTCAGAGTCTCTTCCTGCCTTCTTTGGTAACGACAGCCCAGCTTTCCTTTAGGGGCTACCCCCGCCCATGTCCTGCCAGCTCCCAGGGTGAGGACACGGCCCCAGTGTGGCTCAGCAGAGTATCCCCTCCCCTGGCTGTGGGGTGACAGGACCCAAGCTGAGCCAATGAGTTCCAGACCAGGATAGGTCGGGCAGGTCGGGAGTTCACAACAGAGCAGCTGAGATGGGATTCGAGCCCGGTCCTTCTGCCCACTCTTCTGCTTCTCCTCTAATTTACTGCCAACCTGAGTGCCCAAAGGCCTATCCAGGATCTAGTCGTCCTTGGTGCATCATGGGTGCTCAGCGGATATCAGGAAGGCTGGAAAGTGCTGCCCGTAACCGCACATCCTCTGGGGAAGTATGTATACTTCTCAGCCAAGGGAGCTGGCCTGGATCCTCCATCTCCTTCCAGGGAAGGCAAGGACCAGAGAGAGGTGGCTGTTGGTTGGGAAATGCGGAGAGGGAGGGGTACAACCGGAGGCAAGGGAAAGAGAGTGTACCTGCTTGCAGTGCTTTTCCTTCCGGCTGCACTGGCTCCGTCAGCCTGCAAAAGAAACCCAAAACACCTATATCAGCCAAGGGAGAAGAGCCCAGATTGTACCCACTGCCACCCCACCAAGCTCCCCCTCAACACCAGTCTTCAGACAGAGGGGAGAGCTGGCCCAAGACCCCTGTTCCATTCTTGCAGGCTGGGAAAATCTGCCCCTAGTGGTAAGAGGGAGTCAGGACACCCCACCCCCTCACACACACACACCCCCGCCCCCACCCCCGCCCCCGGAATTTGCTTGGCCCTTTAAATCTAGCAGAGCACCCATTGCCAACACAAACCCAGCAACCACAGGGCCCTGGGGACTCAGTGAAAAGTAAGTAACCAGCTAAATCTAAGATTGAATTGCACCATTTTTATTTTCATCTGGGATTTCCAATAAAACAGTAGCCGCAGATTTATTCCTACCAACCAGAGGGGGAAAATCCTATTATGTTAAAATATTCTGTCCCCCAACCCTACTAGCAGGGAGAGACAAGAGAGTACCAGTTCTTAATCTCTTTCACTTGGGATTGGGGAGGAAAATGAGGAGATGTGGCTGACCCAATGAAAATTTCAGAAATCATACAATTCTGGGTCAGAGGGAGAGACTGAGGCCCTGAGCCAGGAGGGAGCTGCCTGAAGTCTCAGGAGGACAGAATGACAAAACACCTGGGGTTCCTGACCTCCCTGCCCAGGCCAGTGCTGGGAGAACCTCTGCTGCAGAGGCTAAAGTAGGCCATGGACATGGAAAGAACGCACGGGAAGAACACATGAGTTGTAGCCACTTTCCTTGGCTTTGTTAACGCATTTATAATAATAGCAATCACAGAATAATGCAGGTTCCAAACTCTGGCACACACGTGATTCCAAATTCAGAATACTTCCAAGTTTAGAAAGGTAATGTAGCACATGTGCTCTGTATTTTGCAACAACCTCGGCAGGGTCTGGGCAGCCCCCCACCAACCCTAGATTCAATCACGGTGTTATTTCCACAGTGAAACTCGTGCAATCAGGCCCTATGGAGGATAAACGAAGACAGAATTAGTCTCTTCTCCCTTCAGGTCAAGTCCTACCACCTCACCAGTCATAAAAAATCTTTTTGTTTTCGAGTTTTGTGAATTTCAGGAATGCAGATCTAAAATAGCGGCAACAGCTACCTTTTGACGCAGGTTTTTGAGAAGTTACAAACTGGCAAAACCAGATGGCAGGCTTCAATTCAAACAGTCAATATGGAGAAATAAAATAATTTCACCCACAGAAGGCCAGATTTCAGCGAGTGAAAGCAGCACTTAGTTCCACGCGACCACAGTCAGCTAGAGCTGCCAGTCCCCAGGGCTCCCTCTTGCCTTATACCCAGCCCTCTGGCCTGGCTCCCAGGGGTATCCAGACTCCCTAACCTCCCCTGGGGTGCCAGTGTATGCACATTTAATGCTCCTTATTCAACCCTCCCAACAGGTCCCCCAACACACACAAGGAAGTCAAAGAATTTTAAGTCACTTGTCCAACATTCCACAGCTACAAGCCCAGGTCTGGGTCACTCCAGGGCCCAGCTTCCTAAGCTCTGGAGTATTTTCTCTCCCATCAACATTCAGAACAGCCAATCGGGAAATGAGGTACACCCACAGCCCCCACTGCCCACAGGAGGGAAATGCAAAGATGAAGGACAAATAAGGAGGCAGAAATGTGAGGCCTGGGAGGGAAAAAATTAATGGGATGCTGGTGTATTATTTCAGTGGCAGAAACAAGAAAGCGGAAAATGGTTTGCATATCATTTCACTGGGAGCAAAAGAACAGGATCAATTACAGCCTCCTTCCGACATCTTGCATTCCTCAAAACTTCTATGGAAAGCGAATGGGACGAAGTTGTTTTAATCTTCATATCGTTAAGAGGCAGAAGTGGTTAAGGGGTGGAGATTCTGCCCCAGAGAGCTTAAAGAAAATTTTAAAATCCCAAATGATCTCTCATCTTTCCCACTCAACTCTGGGCACGTATTTCTAGCATTTTGCACATATTTTCGCGGTGTTTGTGGGGGTTTTTTTGGGGGGGGTCCTCTTCCTTCCCAGTTTCACCCAGAATGGACTGCATGCAGACAGGGAACACAGGGCTGGGGAGAAGAAAAGATGCTCCATCTCTGGCATAGCTAGGCACTGCCACCTATGTTTCCTTTTTATTATGTTTGCGATGCTCTGCACTTCTTGCCACCAGTGGCAACACTGAGTTTTGTTTTCCACCGATTTTTATGAAACAAACACAAAATGCTAAAAATATTCAAACCGTTGCCCAAACAAACCCTTGCACAGAAACTCAGGAGAAGCCACAGGAGAAATGGAGCTGCTGGTGGGAGGAGCCTCACCTGGGCAGGTGTGATGTGCCCCGGGGGCTGGGGCCCCGGGGTGGTTCCCGGCAGATCCGGGGAACTGATACAGGTGGGCCTGTGCATGGACAAGAGGCTCAAGTGAGAGATGTCCACAACAGCATGTGTCCCCATCACAGCTCCCGTCGGTCAGGGCACATGGGCCTGGCTGAGTCCAGGCCCACCGCAGGACCAGGGACAACCTCTCGGGCCCTCCCCACCCCCATGGAAGCCCACAGTGCCAAGGGCACCAACCTTCAGTTGCAGGGATCAACCTTCAGTTGAAAGGATCAGTGAGAAGCCAGACCAGCTCTGTCGGTGTCCTCACAACTCCCTACCACTTGAATGAAGCTGACCCTCTGACGTGGCCATTTTCCCAGCAATTTCCTATGATTCAACCTAAACCACAAACTCACCTTTACCCAGTGTAACGTGACCCCATTCCCAACTGGAACTCAAGTCAAACAGCACACGGTGAAGCATCAGACAGTCTTGCATCTGGAGCCCCCAACAGTCCTGCCGTTTCCTAGCTATTGGGTTCTTGGCAAGCCACCTGCACGCTCAAGGCCTCGGTCTTCCCGCGTGCAAAATGACAATAATGCCGATCCCTGGACCGATCTCCTGGGACCGACGAGGTAACGCGTGTACAAGTAACCAGTGTGGACTATGCTGATTGCACCGCAGATGGGCGAGAGGCGGGGCCGACCTTGCACTGCCCCAGGACTCTCCCCAGCCTGTCCCAGGGTCTGGTCTAAATCCTGGGCTGCAGGTGCAGGTCGGCATCTCATGGGTGTCCACCAGACCCCACAGCTCTGAGGCTTCTTCCAAAGGGCTGGTAGAAACGAAGTCAAATACAGTGATACAGCCTACGCTAAGCGCAGGTCAGCTATGTGTAGCAACGGCTTAAGCAATGGAAACGGGGCAGTGGCTTCCACTGGACCATGGGCTCCTACGGACACAGCTCTGCCTGGTTCTGTCCATGTCTCACCGGGGGCAGGCTCCTTCCTTTCCCCGGACACGAGGTTCTCACTGGTAAAAACTAGACGAGAAGCACGAGAGTCAGATCCTCTCCTGCTGCCTGTGGAAGTGACCCAAACTTAACCAAACCCCACTATGGCAAGTGAAATGGGGTGTGGCACAGTGGGCCCATGAGAAACCCTCCCCCTCAAGCTTACCACGCAGGGGGAGGGTACAGGCATCCACTTCCCCAGCTCCCCATAAGGGCATCGGCCCCCCCTTTGCCAGCCCCATCCATTCCTCCTCCACCAGTTTCTCTGTAAGACCCGGGCAAAGCTATTTTTGGTTTCATTCGACCCTCCTCTTCCCTCCCAAATGAATGTTAAGTTGTTCTTTTCCATTCTCTTATTAAGGATTTTCTTGGAAAGAAAATATTATTCTAAACCCAGAAATTTTATTTCTGAATTTGTGCAAATGTAAGTTGTAGGACATTAGCTGCATTTCACATTTTGTGCAAATGGCAGAAACAGGCAATTCGTGTGCTACGGGATGGGGGCTGGCCAACGATTTCGATAAAATAAACCCTTTTTTAATTTAAATGCTAATGCACTGAATTAAAATTTAATAACTGAGGAAATTGAAAAGCCGAGCAGGAATATTGGAAATAAATCCAAGCAGAAACAGCTGAAATTAAAAATTCTAGAGAGTGGGAGGATAGCAGCTAAGCTGTCTTATATGATTACATTTTTTTTTTTTTTTTAAAAATAAAGAAAAAAAAAAAAAAAAAAATCCTATCTCTCGCTGGCTCTAGGGCAGTAAATCCACAGTGCTGTGATTTATTGCTCAATTTTCCTGAGGGAAAAAGGCTTTCTTTCATGCTGAAATATTTCATAAATTTCAAGCCAGCATAAATTCTTAATTTAAAAGTTATGGAGGTCACATTTAGTGCACTGGTACGGTTCCAAAATCTTAAAGCAATAGCAGCGACCAAAAAAAAAAAATTAAACTAAAAAAAAAAAAAAAGCAAAAAAAGGGGTAGAATTGTTTTTTTTTTTCTTTTTTTCATTTTGGTTTTAATTCACGAGTCAAAATTTCATTATTAAAGATCCCTCCTGGATGGATGGAACCCAAGCACATGGGGAACTGGTATGTGTTTGGAAATCTGCTGCAAAAGATGAAGAGATAAAGATTTAATTCAATTATAAAAGGGCTTTTTTTTTTTTTTTAAGCCACTTGAGGAATTTCTGGTAAAAATTTCCTCCCTTCACTGCCTGGGAAGGGGTGAGGGTGGGGGAGGGTGGCCAATGTAATTGCTTCTCTTAGATCTCCAATCTTTTGTGCACACTGATATATTCATTTGTTATACAGCTGTTCAGCGGCGGAAAGAATGCTGGGGCGCCCATAATTCTAAGCAAATCAATCAAAAATTAATGATTTGTCATGCTTGCACAATGGAGGAAAACAGCTCCTTGGGTCCTGGCTGCCTGATCTCGAAGAATGAAATGCCTTTCTGCGATAAGAGAACCAAGCCGGAGGCTCAGCGAGGCTGAGGTGCCCCTGTGAATGTGGGTGCTCATGGTCCCCTGAGCTCTCAGAGGATGGAGGAGGGCCACCATCTTGAAGAGAACATCTCCAAGATGGTGTGCCTTGGCCAGTCAAGCCCAGGACAGACGGAGTGAAGCACATTTCCATGGAGGTATACTT